CATCAGAACACAGAAAATACTAGGCTCCCAGCTCTCGTGAGTTTCTGAATTTGAGACTGAATTACTTTAAGTTCTACTTGTTTTGAAGTATACTCACCTGGATACCCATTTTCTTGGGAAATGGGTAAGAAGAGAATAAGGGTGAAAGTATATCCATGAATTCAGGAACTTGTTATTTTCTTTTATTAAATAGTTTAGGCATAAAGTATATGAAATAACAGAATAAATATTCATTTGCTACCACCCAAGCTTAAGAAGCAAGACATTGCCAATAAAATGATTCTTCTGCCATTCCAGTCCTTTCCTTCCATTCTACACGAGCACAGATTTTTAAATCAAGCTTCACGTAGATTGTATCTTGCAGGTCATTTTACACCTTTCTTTTGTGACTCAACCTCTGTAACAAGGAGTGGTATTGCTGTGTCCTCCTGAACTCCGCTCAGCCTCCCCAAGTCACTCCTAGAGTCTTCGCGGTCTGCACTTTCCAGCGTGGGGCATTCCCACTCTTCTCTTCATGGCTGTTGGCAAATATCGATTTGAACAAATTTGACAAAAATGAAATGTTGTCATTTTAATTGTGTTGTTCTGATGATCAGTGAGGTCAAGTGTATTTTGTTGGCATTCGTTTTTTTTTGTTGAATTTGCTTGGAAATTACCTTTAGTATCCCGTTTTTCATAAGAATGCATATAAGCTAATCATATGCATCTTGAACATTTCCTAGTGCTTCAGATAAAATATCCCACCATTTTCACTGTAATTTAAATGTCAGTGACATACTGTTTTGCAAGAATATATATAGCAGTTTGGCTTTACATATCTGATTTTGAAAGACTGTCATTTTATAGATTCATTGTTCCTTTACATAGTAAAGCCCTGGAGCTCCCTGTTAGGCGCAGCCTGGGAGGAAAGAGTGTAGAGTGTGAAGTTAGAGACCTGGGCCGGAACCTGGCTCCCCACACCGGGATCTGAGCCTTGAAAGCTGCTTCCCCTCTTCAAGCCATGGTCTCTGCCCCTCCTGCCCTCAGCGGGAGTTGAGAACACCATGGATGGAGTGTCCTGTACAATGCCGTGCCTAGCACACACCGGCAGGAAATTGACGTTATTACAGTTAAGCAAAAGAAATGTCTTGGAAGCACATTTCCTATTTTGCCTTCCACCCATTACTGCATGGACTCTCAAGCAGGGTTTCCATGTACAAAAAGTGAAATAGGTGTGTGTTTTGGTGTTTTTCAAAAGCATTACCCCTACTTTAGGTTGGAGGAGGCTTTTTGATATTTTATCATGTTATTTTTTTCCTCTATAGTAAATCTGAGAGGTAGGGCAGGATCCTTATTTATTCCCATTTTCCTGATGAGGAAAATCCATGGTAGAGCCAGGACAGGAAGCAGTTCCAGATTTCCACTCTAGGGGGCAGTGTCTCTGGTTGTCTTTTATGTTTAAGCTGATTTTTGTCCTTGAAGTGAAGGGCCTGGCTCTGGAATCAAGTTCCTGGGCTCTAATCCTTGCTCTGCTGCTTGATAAGTGACCTGTCTGGCAAGTTATGTGACCTTCATATGCAATAGTCTTATTTGTAGAGTGGGGGAAATTCTCCCACTTCATGGGGGTGTTGTGAAGTTTAAAAAAACGTGTAAAGAGCTTAGGGTGCAGATACAAAGTGACATGTCATTAAAATTTAACCATTAAGTAACCCAGGTTTGGGGAGAGATGGAAGTGAATGAAAGGTAAGGCTGGCCCTGATCATGTTGATAATAGGATGATGGCACAAGGGGATTTGCTATACTATTTGATGTTTTTATTTCTGAAAATTTCTTCCATAATAAAAACTAAAAGCATGTATAATTCAAAAACATTTTTGCCATTTACACTTTTTGGTTTCTGAATTCTTTCCTTTAGATGCTTTTTAGGAGTAGGATCAGCAGTGGGATGTCTTACAATCATTGTAGAATGTGGCTGAACTGCTTTGGTACCTCGTGGCTACAATCCATGATTACACCAGTTTCACCAGAGCTTCAAACGACATGGGGTATCACAATGACATGTTTTGCATCCAATGTTATAAATAAAACCATACCTCACAATTATTTTAATGCCCCCTCTTTGCTTAGTAAAAACTGAGCATTTCCTTAATTGTGTTTAGAGGTGGTTATCATTTTAAAAATCTCTATATATCTACTTATGTGCTTGGCACTTCCACCCATCAGGGATTCATAGACTCCATAGAGGAGTGGTAGAAAAACTTATTTTAGCTGCCTAATTTTTAAGTGAGGGAGAAACTGTCCTCACTGGGTGGCTCTTAATATTTGGTTTTAAAAATTCCTTCAATATATATTCATGGCAAAAATGTGTTTGATACTTTAAAAATCCAAAATGCAGGAATGCTTGTGATTGCCGTAGTATCTTGATTTTGAGTGCTTTTGATTTCCTGGGGGTCAAGTTTTATGCTGTAATTACTGGGCCAAGCGTGGTCAGTTACTCTGAGGTGCAGCCTCTGCTGCTCCTCATTCAGTGCTCCTCACCATGGTGTCCCTTTCATTGTGGACATCTGCTGCAGGAGCCCAGTCTGCAGTGGTCCCTGTTAAAGTGAGATTTGGCCTCAGTAAATTTTCAGGTGTTTTTCTGGAAGGACAAGGAAACAATTCTTCTCCTGGTGTCTCTACCTACATGATGAATGTACTCACCTTTTCTCTTTATTTCCCACTTTTCATGACACCAATTGCAACTGCTAACTCCAATTCAGAGTATGCTTACCAGTCATCTCTAGAGCTTTTGAAATAGGATCAGCTGGTTTTAAGAAGACTCCTGAGTGGTCTGATATTTTTCAGGAATTTGAGTTTTATGGGATTGGCACTTTTGTATTAATTTTAATTATTATGACCCTTTTAAGAAAACTTGGATGCTAAATCTTCATATCATATAGTAGCTTATTTAAACTCTACGGGTTTCCTCTTTTAAAACCATGATTTGTAAGATAGCTTTTTACTATGGGTTTCTTATGTATTTGAGAGTCAAGTTTTATGCCATCTATTAAGTAACCATGGGGACTGAATGGTGACAGTGCATGAAGTCTTTCATTACTCATGTTCACATTATTTACTGCTTGGCAAATGGTACCAGGGCATAACAGTATTTTATTTGTCATATTTGCATGAGGACTTTCTTATGAAAAGCTTTTGTGGTACGTAACGTACATAAATTCTCGTATAATCACTCTTTTGAGCTACTTGTAGTATTGTTGTTTTTTCATTTTTGGGGAAAACATTCAAGATAGGAAAAGTTGGAAGATCATGTCAATCACTTAAAGGTTACCATGCCAACTTGAATGCAAGTTCTGTTATAATTTTTGTTTGTAATCTTTAGAAAATTTAAATTTTAAACCTTAATTTATGACTTGAGATTGAGATAGTTTCTAACCTGGTTATTAGACTTAAAAAAAACTGAGTAAAAGCTCCTCTTAAAAGATCTGAAACTTCTAACCAGGAAAAAGTAGAGTTTTAAAAGTATTATGTTAAAAAAAATTGTGCAAATGGTGCCTATGGATGTCTGTGGGGATAGGTTGCATACATTTTATAAAACTCATAAAATGTTTATGAAAACATTCTGGTTAAATAAAAACAAAATGGTCAGCTTTTGAGTTTTTCAAAAGAGTTTTTGTCTTAGGGAAGCTATGTTACTTGTTATGCGGACAGTAGGTTAAATCCCAGGTCGGAGGAGCCGGGGCTGCAGTCATGCATTCACGCGCCTGTCTGCAGTCCTGGCTTGCTAGGAAAGCTGGGACCGCGTTTACAGAGGAAGAGCTTGCTGCACCTTGGGACTGCCGAGAGTGCCTCCCTGCTGAAGTGTGTTCTCTGCTCAAGCTCGGAGTTCTCCTGCTGTAGTGGCACACGGCCTCACTACTGGTTTTACCCACATTCTGGGACCTTTCTTGCTTGTCACTGTGGCTCCTGCTCCTCCATGTCCCATGCTGAGCCTGAGAAAGCAACTGGCTGGCTCTTGCCCCTGTGGTGTCTGGAGGTGGACCTGGGCCCAGCCTGGTTGCCCTCCTGGCCTCCACTTCTGGTGGATGTGGACTTCTCGGGCCCTCTTCCTTTTCAAGGACGGGGTTCCTGAAGGTCAGGGGACTGGACCTCCCGTGTGGGAAGGCGCTGCCTTCACCACCCCCCCCACCCTGCACAGCAGCCCTGGACTTCGTTCAGACAATTTCCTGGCTTGGCTTTTTTGGGTCAAATTTTCTTATTTTAAAATTTCACTGTGGTTAGATCTGAGATAAAAATGAATGATTTGGAGAATGTGTCAATAAATGGCAGACTTTCTTCATCCCAGGTCTACACTTTACCCCTGTACTTCTCAGGGGCAGTGGGGCATGGAGTTGAACGTTGGGGACTCGCAAGCCAGACCATTTTTTTATAATACTGATTCTGCTGGTTACTTCTGTGTGGTCTTGGGCAAGTTACTTAAACTCTTTGTGTCTGAAACTGTTTGGAGTTGGTGAAGTTGAATGAATAAGTGTAAAAGGTCTGGGACAGTCTCTGGCACAAACAGTTACACAATGCCACTGTTGCTGCCTCCACCCAGTGGCTGGGCCTGTGACTTGGCACTTCTGTCACTCTCATTGCAGCTCTGGCCTCTGCTCTCGTGCCCTGGTGAAGCCTTCACTTTGGCCAGTTACTTTAGGATCCTAAAACAATGTGCTCACATATATATTTTAGGATGTTTATGATGAAAATACCAACACCCTTATCACAGAATGCACAACTCTGTCTGGGCGTAATGCTGTAAGGTCCTGGTGGGTAGTATTTTGGGGATTCCAGGCCAGCTGTCTTTGGAATTGACATATTAATTAGCTTCTGAGTTTGGTGTCCCCTCGGCTTTCCAGGTGTCAGCGCCCATGTGTGCCTGACGTGTGAGAAACAGTTGGGTCACGGAGCAGCTGAAGTCCACTCGGCAGTCTCTCTTCCTTAGGGAAACCAGGTTCTGAAATTCTGTATTGTTCTTTTTTTAGAAACCATGCCATCCTCAAAGCCTCATCCACCTGTTGTGGGCAAAGTGACTCATCACAGCATTGAGTTATACTGGGATCTGGAAAAGAAGGAGAAACGGCAAGGTCCTCAGGAACAGTGGCATAGATTCTCAATCGAGGAAGAAGACCCCAAAACGCACACTTACGGTATCATTTATACGTAGGTGCAACGTTGGATTGCTTACCCTTTTGCTTTGGTTTTCTGATCGTCTAAAGCAATTTCTATTATCTCTGAAAAGCCATTGCTTGTTTTGAAATTAGAAGAATGAGTCAGCACAATTTGCATTCATGCTCTTTTCTGAATTATAATTTTCAGAAAAAAGCATTTAGCCATGACTTTGAAATTAAGCCTCCTGTACCTTGAGCTCCTTTGACTTTGGAACTATTTTGAAGGTATGTTTTAGAAATCCAAAATGTAGAGAGAGAAACAAAAGATAGTCTGATGAAATCAAGCAAGGCTTCTAGCAGGCCATGTTCAGAGTTGTGGGATGAGCCCGCATGTGGTCCACGGTGGCCAACTTTCCTGATCTTACATTACACAGTGTCCCCTTGCCAAGTGTCTCCAGCTCCCTCCCTGTTCACATGAGCGCACACAGGAAGCATGTTACCTAAGTGTTAATATCTCCAATATTTGAGCAACACTTCTCTGTATCAGAGGGAGGAAAAGGTAATCTGAAATGTAGTTACCATGGGAAAATAATTCCTGGCCTGACCACCTGAAGATGTTATTGTAATCATGCCATATATTCCTCTGTGATGGTGGTTTGCCTCTAAAAGCATGAATCCCACTAGTTTTAAGAATTTCTATGGAGAAGGAAACAAGGTGTCACCTTTTTCCCTTAGCCCTCCTGCCACCGTTGTGGCCTGGAGGGAGCCGTCCCAGGTGTTGCTTTGCTTCCTCTTGGCTCTTTCCTTCTGCTAGGTGGCCAGGTAGATGCTCACCTTGTCACAGGGAAGGCAGGTGCTCATGTCCCAGCATCATGTGTGCATTTGCACCGTTATATTCTCCCTCGAGACCATGTTGCCCTGGGGCCAGGGAATGGCCTCGGATGCTGGCTGGTATTGCCGAGTGGTGGCCCTGCTGCAGACCCCAGCTCCAGGGACATGCCTGGGCTCCTGTGGTCCCTGAGAGTCTTGGATGCTCCAACTTGACACTAGGTGGCAGGCGTGCACTATGTTAGCCTTGACCTCTTTTGTTCTGTTCTGGCCTGTGCTCTAGATTGCATTAAACCAGCAAATGTCTTCCTTTAAAAAAGCAATTATCCAGATCATCTGATGATGGGCCTGTGAATTTAGGAACTCCTTCCTGACTTGGGCTCCCCTCCACGGCTTCTCAGAGACAGCTACCTGGTTTTGTGAGCTGGCCCTTGGTGAGGTCCTCTTCTACCCTCTCATTAAGCAGGGCATTTTAGTCTGGTAGAATGCAAGCGCCACCGTGGACCCTGGCCCACAATGCCCAACACCCATGTCGCCTTCAGGAGTGGGCTTTGCTTCTCTTTTCCTGCCTTCTCTTCCTTTGTTCTATCTTGTAGGTTAATTTTCTTGTTAAATCTCGTTTTGTCAAATTATCTCCAGCAGGTGTCCTTGGCCTGCAGGATGAAGGTCAAGCTCTTTAGACTAAGGTTTGCTTCTCTTTACAGTTTGCCCACTGCCTCTCCTGTTGCCTCATCTCTGAGCATGACCCTCCTATTAGGTCTGCTTCCTGTCTTGAACATGCCTTGACTTTTTCTACAGGTGTGTCTACTCTTCTCCCTGTGTGTCACGCGTCCCCCTTCATCCCATCCTTTTTCCTGCCAGGTCAGAGTCTCCCTCCACTGAGAACGTCCCTGTGGTCTGCCCTGCCTATCCATTCCTGTGGTAACTGGCCCCATCTCTCATCTCTGCATCCACTGGCATGTATCATTCAGTGCCAGCCATGTGCCGGGCACTGTCCTGGATGCTGAGGACATGGCACTGGGGACAGGCAGAAATTCCTTGTGGTGAGGAAGACTAGTCATAAATAAATGTGCCAGGTGTGATCTCTTAAGGAGAAAAACCATAGGAAAAGCTGGGGTCTAGGTGTGTGGGGGGGAATTTCACAAGACGGTAACTTCTGAGTGAAGACTTGAAGCAAGTGAGGGGTACCTGGAACATTCCAGGCAGAGCAAGTGGCCAGCGGAAAGCCTTGAGGTGGGGGAGGGCAGGCAGCGGTCCAGGGACTCCGGGGTGGCGTGAACAGGGGCGAGGCTGGTGAGGTCACGAGAGCCTGTGGGTTGTGGGGAGGACCTCTGGCTTCTAATCTGAAGTGGGAAAGCCAAAGGAGATGGGTACGCTGGGCAGGGCAGGCCTGGCTCAAGCTCTGCGGACACACTGGCTGCAGGTTGAGCTCGGGCGGGCTGACGGGGGCAGGGCGGCATGCCGTGGGAAGGAGCAATTGGGAAACTTCTGCAATAACTGAGGTGGGAGAAAGCAGAACATGAGAAATGATGGAATCCAAAATACATTTTAAAGGGTTTAAAGACTTGCCAGGGTAGCTGGGGAGGCTGAGGCAGGAGGATTGATAGAGCCTGTACGCTCAGGGTCAGCCTGGGCAACAGTGGGACATTCTGTCTCAAAAAATAATAATAATAATAATAATAATAATAATTAAAACAGAGTTTGCCTGGTGGGCTGACCTCATCACAAGCTGTCTGGGTTCTTTTCCATGCACCTGGCCCTCCGGTTGCCGTGGGGTGCTCCTGAGCTGCCAGCAGTCTTTAGGGCACTGCCCTGGGGCCTTTCCCTGCAGCACTGGGCCTGAAGTCTGCAGCTGAGAGGCGGCCTCCCCCAGCCACGGAAGATCCCCCTTGAAACTCAAATACATGCAGGTTCAAATGTGGAGCTTTGTCCTTTAAGGATAAGTGACATGGGTTGGAATGATCACTTCTCCAGGGTACAAAACTGTATGCAAGCGAGGGGCCAGGCGTGGGTGAGGCCCTGTGGACAGGGAGGGCATGTGCTGGGAAGGGATAAAGGTGCAGTGTGACCTGTCCTTTGTTCTCAAAGCATTACAAAACCCATGACCAGCTCTGTACTGGACACAGACAGTATTCAAAAGTCGCTCCCCCCTGCCCTTGTCACAACCTACGCAGGATGCCCGTCAGATGACCTGGTGTCTCCTCCCGTCTAGGGGATATGCAACGAAACACGTCATTGAAGGTCTGGAACCGAGGACACTCTACAGATTCCGACTGAAGGTCACCAGCCCCTCTGGAGAATGCGAGTACAGCCCCGTCATCTCGGTATCCACGACCAGTGAGTACCCGGTGCTCCAGGCGGGCGAGTCCAGGGCACAGGCACCAGGCGAAGTGCAGAGGCAGTGTCAGGCCTTTCCCTGGGCTCACAGAGCAGGAAGGATTCCGTGTGTACGCACCGTGGGAGCATTCTTACTGCCCGGGCTTCCTGTAGTGTGTGACACAAGGGACGTCCATTATGCTTTCACAGAATGGGAGACGCCAGACTTTGTTCTAGGACTGTCCTGGTCGTGGACACTGGCACCATGGCGGAGTTGCCTTGCTTCGGAAGAGGCCAGGAGTGTGTGCTTGGCCGCTGTGTGTTTGAGTGTGCTCTCTGAAGGGGTCAGTCCACTCGGTGTGTGTCTTGACTGACCAGACACATCGGATTCTTGGGGTCCTGTGAGGAATGCACAGTGCTGCCTCCAGCCACAGAGTGTTCTGGAAGGAATCCTTGCAGAGGGGGTGGCCAAGGAGGCTGGCCACAGAGCCTTTGACCACTTTGTCCTTTTCCCAGTTTTATAGTATCTTCTGAGATTGACGTTTGAAAACCCTTTAACGATGTAGTGTTCAGTGTCATCTTTGGGCTACCATATTGAACAGGTTAAAATGATCAGGAAAGTCCTTCATGGCCACTCACAGTACAGATCGGTCTTTTTTGGGTTATATAAAGAAAATATTCCTTTTGTGAGCAAAGTATTTTTCAGTTATATTCAGTGTGACATTTGGCTTTTATGTACATTTTATGTGGCTTTTGATTGTGTCCTGTAGGCATTTATTCATGAGTGGGAGTTAAGAGTATGAAAAGAAATGTTGGCTTTCTTGGCTCACACTGGTGTCCACTAGGAAATACTGGGGCCCATCCACCTGGACCTATGGGGGAAGTGATGATGGCTGTTCTGAAACCAACTGTGGTGGGCTTCAGGTGGTCACTAGTGCCCTCTTAGCAGCACAACAAAGCCAGAGCAGGGACTTCCAGGTCTTTTGGCTGGAGTTTCCCTGTTGCTGGTGTGCCATGTGGAAGTCCTTCAGGAAGGCAGAGAGCAGCCGGACTGCCTAGCTGCCGAGGGTTCCTGTGCCTCCTCCTGCCTAGCTGCCTGGGGAGAGGCTGCAGACATAGCTGGTCCAGATGCTTGTGCTTACCCCCCACAGCTTCTGTGGGCAGTTAGATAAGACCCCTATGGAACCAGGGCATGCTGGTGATGGCCCACTGTGCTGGAGTGTCACACTGTCTCATTGCTAGGTCCAGCACAAGTGCCTGCAGGCAGGCAGAACAGGCCTCCTGGGGTGCTACTGGGTGGTAGAAGTCAGGCATCCTCTGCTTTCTGAATGAGGCAGGCTGTGCTGGCGGGATGCTGATCCCTTATGCTATTGTTACAATATTGTGCAGACTCTTTTAAGGAGGCAGATCCTGCTAAACAAAGAATTAAAAATGCACACATTATACAGAGCAAGTGAAAATGCTTCTGTGGGTTGATGATTTGCATTCGGTTGGAGAGCGTTTTAATGAATCACAAAAGCATGTACTTTGTTTGAATAAAGGATGCTCAGCCTTTTTTTTTTTTCTTCTTCCCAGGTAAAGTACATGAGACTCTTGCTTAAATGAGGCATGCAATTTTAATCAGCTGGGCCCTTAAAAAAGAAAGAAAAACAGCTGCTACTTGTTAATTGGCAAATATCTTCCCCAATGAGCTCATGATTTATTCACTGCTTTTAATAAAGATCTAAATTCCACCAAGAAAGGTGTTATTGCCATATTATAATATCTGTGGGCACATCTTGCAACTAAATGACCCTCTTGGATAGAATGAATGATGGCTTCCCAAAGACTGCTGTGCCCCCACTTCCAGGTGTCCAGGCCACATGCATTACTTCTAGCTCAGAGGAGCATCCAAGGACATTCTTACCAAAGAAGGATCAGTTTGATGTTTGTAATTGTAGCACTCATAACTCTTAGAAACAAAACATGCAAAGGCTTGCCTTCTTTATATTCAGTTGCACTTATCAATGGCATTCCCTGGGCCAGGCCCACAGGGTCTTAAAGGGCTTGGGGGCGAATGGAGAGGAACATTCTGTCCACTCTGGAATTTCCTTTCTGTTCTTTGTGACTCCTGCCCAGAGTGGGAGTAGAAAGAATTGCTGTGCATTGCAAACAAAGGCCTTCTCATTTCTTTTCTGTGTCTGTCAAATTCATGTAATCTCTTGAATGTATCTGTTTAAGGTTAGTTCACATGGCTCCAGGGGACAGTTTCCCTTTTTCTTTGCCTCCTGAGGAGGAGGGTGAATGAGCTAGTGCTGAGAAGGGGCTCTTATTTCCTGACTAATGGCTATTGCGGTCTTCTGCTGAAACTCAGCAAGCAGGGAGTGATGAACAATTATGTTGTCTTTCCCTCTCTTCTACGAGGGGCCCCTTTGTTCTCAGAAAACGTGAAGTGCTGAGTACCTCCTTCGGAAGCTGCAATAATACATAGATTTTAATTCTAACATAAAATCAAAATACCCTGGTCTTATAAGCACAAGATGAACTTACTGGGATGTCACATTTCCATGCTGCAGAGTTTCCTGGTCAGGATGTGCTAGGAAGCAAGCCCCCCATTGGGAGGGCCTCGCTGAGCAGGTAAGGTGGGTGATGTGGAATAGGAGTCATCAGTGGACAGCTGTGGGATGCGGCAGTGATTTTGACTTTTTCTCAAAAAGCCCAAGAAATTGGCATTTTCTGAAACTTCTCAATCATCCCTTCAATGAACACTTTGGCAAGGGATCACTGTTTTAACATGTCTGTATTCAAAATTTATTTAGAGTGGAAGT